ACGTAATTGGATTAGCCTTTTGAAAGGTCATCTATATCACACATATAACCACATTTCAGTTCTTCGTTTGATTTTTCACTATAAATGACATTTGAAATTTCTACATCTACTGACGTGTTGACATTGTCGGCTTAATTTTTTATTTAACTTGACTCGATTGCAATCGATGCAGCGAAATTTGCTCAGCTCCGAGACTTTGTTTTCTCTGTCTGATCTTTCTCAGTGTACGTAAATGTCAAAGTTGCGCGTTGACGTCGATTCTTGTTTTGCGTTAAACACATGAGTTCGCTGTATATACGTGGTACACATAAAGTACACCTTGTGTATACCGTATGAGAGCGAAAGAGACGGGGAATGCGACTAGAGTTGCGAGTCAATAATTATTTCTTGAATTAATTATCATGTTTAATTGATTAATATGAATCAATTCAATTGGAGACCATCTGATTGACAATTGATTTCAACAAATTCAATCGACAATCGTTCGATTGGTAATCGATTTCAACGAATCCAATTAAAGACCGTTTGATTGACAATTGATATGAGTGAAGGGAATCAAAGATCGTTGATTAACAGTTAAAGTTAGCAAATTTAATTAAACGTCGTTTAATTGACTATATCGGTAGATTAAATTGTAGATTTTTCATTGAAGATTGATATGACCACACTGAGAAGAATATGATTCGATAAGAAATTAACAAACAAATCAAAATTTCCGATCAAAATTCCGATGAATTTTTGTATCCATCCAGATAGCACAGAGAATTTAAAAAGAATTGATTAGACTTTTCATCTTTATATCACCAATTCCGAATTCCTTTTTAGATACAAAAAGAATTTTTCTCATAAAAAAATTCTTTTTGGTATCCTTCTTATAAAAAAAATTCTTTTGTATAAAAAAAACTCAGAATTGGTGATATAAACATGAATTCTTTTGGGATTCTCTCTGTTATCTGGGCGATTAAGAGACATTCGATGAAAAATATGAAAATTTATCGGTATTTTAATCGGAAATATTTGTTTGTTAATTTTTTTATCAGAATTTCTCTCAGAGTATTTTTTCAATGTTGGTTCTATTTACACTGAAAAAAGATATTTGGGAATTTATTCGTGTGATATAAAGTTTATTTCTGTGAAATAAAGTTTATTCTTATAAAGTGAAATTTATTTCTGCAAAGAAACTTTATATATATTCCATAAATATAGAAACTTTATATATATTCCATAAATAAATAAATAAGTAAATATTCAATAAATAAATAAATATTCAAGTAATTCTTTTTCAATGTAGCACTTCTCAAACATTGACATCTTTCCCGATACTACGATGCTCCGGGTATGAATATTATTCAGTGTAACTAATTGTAAATTGAGTAATCGAGTTCCCTTCCATTGAATCGATTGAACTTGCTTATATCAATTATCAATTAAAAGGCTTTTTATTAAATTTGTCAAGTTCAATTGTCAGTCAAATTGCCTTTAATTAAATTCGCTAAGTTCAATTGTCAACTGAACAATCTTTGATTCTCTTTGCTCATATCAGTCGTCAATTGAACGGTCTTTAATTGAATTCGTTGAAGGCAACCGTCAATTAAATATTCTTCGATCGATTTTGCTCGAATCAATCATCAATTGGTTGAATTGAATTGAAACATACTTAGCCATAGTCATGTGAGAATCATCTAACCCACAAAATTATGATTTCCGAATTTCTGTTACCAATGGTAGCTTATAATACATCTTTCTACATAAAAGGGTCCAAGCCTTGTGGATGCTTGAAATTAATTAAAGAACAGTTTTTATTTTCTATTAGTGTCTTTTTTACCTATTTTTTTAAGAGTTCAATTTGGCAATGAAAGAAGAGAAATTGATCATAGTGATCATCCACTTTTTGGATTTTTTTGATTATTCTTTCTTAACTACTTACCATTTGTCCAAAGTTATTAAATTTGGAAAAATGGCCAATGGACCTGGCTCCGCGGCCATAAGGGGACATACATAAATTTGGAAAAACTTGATTGATATTTTTACATTCTCTGGATACTACATACAAGGTGCTTTTTCTATCACACTTACATACGAGATGGATCATGGCGTTTAAATCGACGAAGGTCCCACCTTCTCGCGGCTCCCTGGACGCGAACCGCGTTGTAAATCGATCTCTCACACCGTCGATTTGAAAAGTAATCTCCGTGAGCAGATATATGTAATTGTTTCTCCTATGCTCTCTCGAGGTCTTCGACGCTACCGCTGGTATTTACAAACATCTTACCATCTACTCTGCGGACGCAAAAAGCGTCGTGTTTGCGCGTCGCGTTCGGCGAAGTGAAGTATCTCCCGCGACAATACCAGTACCGTCTCGTCGCAACTTTTTTGCGACCGTGCCGTCGCAAATATTTGAGCTTAGTTTTCCCGATCGAGGTACCTGGACAGTTTACAACCTTGTCGTGCAGGCAATCCGCCAGATTCCCCTCGTTCCCGTGGCACTGTATTCCGCTGATCGATATCGGCATCACCTCGCCGCCGAAGAAGTCGGTCTGTGTTGCGACGGACGCGTAACCGAGGCCCAATTGACGGCAGACGACGGCGGCCTCGAGCATGGACCAACTGTCGCCGCAGACGACACCCCAATCTGAAATCGAATTCATCATATTTCGCGGGTTCACCGGATGCTCGTCGAGCGTCCTCGTGATCTCTCGCTATCGGAATTCGGAGCTCGTTCATTCGATAAAACAGAAAGTATCGTGTTTCGTTACAATTGTCAGCTGCATTATGATTATTTTCTCTCTCCGAATTGTTTAATTTAAATGAAAACCACAGAGAATTTTATAGTGAAAGTTATAGAATTTTATAATCGAGCAGTGGGACGATGTTCTGCAGTGATTGACTATCCTTTTTTGTGCTGTTCATATTTTAGGGACCGGAATGTGCTATGAAGAAATTTTTAGCGAAAATTATGTTCCTTAGCAAGACAAATCTTAGTAACAGTCTGTACTACTAGAAATATAACAGAATTGAAAAAAATTATATGGAGAAAAGAAAAGCTATATCCTTTTTACAATATAACAGCTATTTCAGTTGTACTGCAATATAGTATAGCTATGTTTCAGTTTCGTCAAACTTTTATAGGGTCGACTAAATTCTGCAGTTTAAATTCCTACATTAGATTGTTCATCTGGCTCAATTTTTATTTAAAGATACTTGACAGTAACACACTCATTTAATCAATGAATTGCTCAGATAGACTTTTATGATTATCATGACGAGAAACAGTCGATGGTGGAAATTTCTTTTAATTACATTGATGAAGAACGTATCCTGTATTGAATTCATCAATAAATTTATATCACGCAATAATGTAAAATTCTTGTGCATTGATGCAGCAACAAAGTTACACTCAGATCTTCATGTCAAATTTTATATGACATGTTTTGAGCCAATTTTCGTTGTTTTTTTAGCATTTCTTTTATATCTCTATTTTGTCACTCTATGTGATAAATATGAATGCCACATATGCACCACTCATAAGTGATATAACCTTTACAAATTGATTAACAAAGTTGCTGCTAATTTTACATACACCTATGTGTTTATCTGAGTGAAAATTTATTAAATCACTTATTGTACAAGCATTCTCTTCTGTTTCACTTTTAACGTGGTAATCATGCATACTTTTGAGGGAGTTCTCGGAAGTGAATTGGAACGAATTAATACTAGTATGTTTGAAAGGCTCTTGGTGTTACTGTCAGGCTGAGCTTGACACTATTGCAGTTTGTGTAGCAAAATTTGCTACAGACATAGATTTAGGCTCTTATTTTGACTTCTTTTTTACTTCAATATTAGAACAATACATGCGCGCGCCATATAGCTAATAAGAAACAATAAAAAATGTAAAATAAAAATAAAATAAAAATTAAATTAAATTAAAATATACTTTAATTAATTAATAATTATAGGGAGAGACAGGGGGAGACAGGGAGAGACGGGGAGAGACGGGAAGAGAGAGAGAGAGAGACAGGGAAAGACAGGGAGAGACAGGGAGAGACAGGGAGAGACGGGGAGAGACGGGGAGAGACAGGGAGAGACATATTTCTTCTGTATTTTTTTTTCGTGATCTAACCAACGTGATGACAGCTATTTGCCTGGTAATTTGACAGGCGCAAACGACACGAAGCAAGCCGCAGCCCTCATGAAGTGAGCTAAGCGAGAAAACCAATTAGCATCGCGGAAAAGCGGAAACAATTAAATCTCTTACATACTTTTTTTAGAAAGGACTAGTTTTAGAGAGGAAAAGTTACTCTATATGTGTTTATAAGCTAATCAGAAGACTTATAAGTTACATTTAGAGACACTTTTATTCAAAATAAGAATCTTAGTCTTTTTAGTCGGCTTCTCGTCAGTGCAATAAACGAATTATTTCACAATAACCATTGCTTATTGTTGAGACGTCAATTGCTCACTACAATATCTGATTATCACGTGTTAAAATTTGCGATGGAGATCTAGCTCACGCCATTCCATTTTATTTTTGCGTTTCCACCTTACCCGCATCACCAAGTTTGACTTCTATTCGACCTTCGGAAAGTACTCGGCCTCCGGACAACCGCAATGCCGTTCCCCGCAGATGCGTGTCCTTTATCTTTGATTTCGGCGGTTTCTGCGGGTTCGACGTCGTTTTCGCTTCCTCGTCGTGCACGCAAACCACACCGGCAGCCTCGTTGCTATCGCAGTCGGAGACACCCCAACTATCGAAGCGACATTTTGCGAGCTCGTCCTCGGTTCCGTCGCAGTAAACGTTGTCCATCCAGTATCTTCCTTCGGGACGTTTTCAGTATGAGAATTCGCGCGCTTGTTGCGTCGCGTTAATTTATCGGACCTTATCTAATTCCTGATCTTATTGATGAAAAGTTATTATCTAGATACCCCCAAAATAGAATTCCTTAAGTCAAACTTAGGATATCGTCCGCCATTTATATGGAAGAAGCGAGTGGATAAGTGAGAGACTAGCTGCGACGTGCTTTGTGTGTCATTTCGGTCTCAGAGCTTCTCTCTCACTGCTACTCACATCACCCCTAAAAATGGCAGACAGGTTGCAGACAGATCAGGAATCATTATGCTTTGTCCTAACTTTGACTAGAGAAATTCTAGCCCAAAACGTCCTGAATCCTCTTGAATGTGCTCGGTATGTTTTAGAATACTCCTCAGGGTATTCTGAATAATTTTAGGACATCTTGCTATTTGGGTATATTATTTAAAAAAATATAATCCCACTCTTAGCAGAATCCTCTTACATATGGCCTCAGGAGGATTTCTCTAAAACTAGTTATGAGGTGCTATTTCCTATATACTAAGCGAAAACTTTTAGTGATGGAGTGTTCTTCTCCTAATGAAGTGGATTATTAATCGGAATTCTACTACATATTATTCTAAAATATGTAATAGAGTCAACAATCGAAAATAAAATTTAAAATTTGCGATCTGCGATGGCTTTTATTGGCTGTTACATATCTTAACACTAGAATGCTCGGGAATAACAATCCTCTTTGGATGGTCAAAATAGTCATTTGGATGTCTTGCGATTCTATCATTTCAAAACTCTCTCTGTTTCTCATTACTCGTGTTAATACTCTCTTAAAGTGAATAAGTGAATAGTCACAGATATCACTGAGCACTTTCAGTGCTATACTTATAACTGTAAATCAGTATATATTTATTGTTTTCAGTGATGTTTGACTGATTCATTTTAAGAGAGTAATTTTTCAACATTTTTAGAGTATAATTTGCAAAATATTGACATTTTATATTGTAAAAAGTTTCAATTTTCATAATTTTTCCAAATTTGTAATTTTCTGTAGTAAGATGCATTGTAATTATTACTTGATTACTCTCTATAATTAGTACGAAAAGATTGGTAAATGTATTGGTATATATATTGAATAAAATATAAATTTAATCGGATTTAAAGAACTAAAATTTCAAAAAATCTTAAAAAATGGTTTGCATACTGTTCTTATAACACTGACAATTAAATAAAGAGTCAAATTGACTCTTTTTGGATATTTACGATAAATCATAAAATAATTTATCAGAATATTATCAATCTCTTCCGTTAATTTTTCAGCGCGTATTCTATCTTAAAAATAATTAAAAGCCATAAAAGATTTTTTCCCTAAATCATGAGAAACAAGAATGGTGAAAACAAAAATACTCTAAAGAAGTCAAAATGACCTCATCGAGTATTATAATATTAAAGTGATTGGATATTTGAAGGCCTCTCTGTGATAAATCTCGCGTAAGATATTATTCTTTTATTTAATTTTATTTCTCTTACTTTTTAACTTTTTTTCTCTTAAGAGGAATATCTTATATTAAGAGGAATATGTTTATTTGAAACAAAGAATATTCTCTTACGCGTGATATAGGCGACAAGTAAGAGAGACTTGTAGATAAAAGATGAGCTTTTTCTAATTTTAAAAATATTATGCTTAGAATAGATCTTCCTTTTAGAAAAATCCTTCTGAGAGAATCTCTTTAAGGATGAGGTTATATTTCTTTTTGGGAATCATTCAAATAAACGGTAGGAAGGAGAGTGCGAATGCAGGAAAAATAAAATAACACAAAAATCTGATATTTTCGTGACTTCCGCGGTGTGAAGAAGTGCTCGATCCAGTTTTCGTCAAGCTTCGTCTCTCTTTCTCTCTCCCTTCGCGAAAAGATTTTTCTATATTAAACTTTTTGCTACTTCGCTCGATGTGGCTTTGGTGACGTGTCTTTTGTGGATTTCTCTCCGACGTTTCGTGAACATTTCGGTTCGCTTCAAGCAAAGGTAGGAGCAACCTGAAACTTTCAACTCAATTGATTAGTTTAAAGTCCTTTCCCAGAAAGAGCGAGGTGAAATGTTCACGACAGCTCGGAAACAAATCGAGGGGACACGGTACTAACCCGGAAGGCGGATCGAGCGTAGCAGCGAAAAGATCTAGCATATCGCTCGCGAAATTTTTTTCGCGGAGGGACGAGGTTTGACGCGACGCGCTAAAAATACGCGATGCGTCTGTCGATAAATTGCAGCGAACAAACGGCTCCACTTGTACGAGACTTGCGCGTCCAACACGTCTCGGCTGCGCTCCGTCGAGCTCGCGCTGCACTCGCGATCGTGAAAGACCGCGGGGATTAGTTGGGAAGACAATAATAATCGTCTCACTTCTGGCCTGGCCGAAGTGCCCGTTCGTCGTCGCTCTAATTGCACCGTTGAAACCCAATTGCCTGCAAACCACATCGGCATCCAAGTCGTCCCATTCGTCGTCGCACACACTGCCCCACTTCCCGTCGTGAAGTATCTCTACGTTTCCTGCGCGCAACAGACAGCAATAAAATCTCACGCTTTTCCCGACCGCGACTCGGTCGCGCGTGACACAAAAAGCAGGAAACAATGTGTGTGTGTGTGAGCGCGCGTATATGTGTGCGCGATCGATTTGCACGACGGGTTCGCGATTTGACCGACGCGCGGCAGGATATTGCGACAAATCCCGACAAATAACGAGGAAACTCTCGATACGGAAAAATCATCGACGCGTATAATACAATTAGCGACTAATAATTATGACCGATTATGATCGTTGATTGCGGAAGTGTCATTGCGGTTTGTTCGATAAATGAATTGTCAGAACGTGTTATCCTTTGCTTTAAGGAACGCCAAGCTGTTGACTAAGAAAATCATTTCGGGCAAACCGAGAGTTTGATCGGAAATAAGGATTCTTCTCTCGTGTTCGTTAATTCTAGATTGTTCTAGTGTTACACGGGAAGAGAAAATTGAGTTGGGTCAATTAAATGTCCAAGCAAAAATGAAGTTACCAGAATTCTGTGTTCAAGTTAACAAGGTTCGGATTAATCCTTTGAGCCATGCTATTTACTTCCTGATAAAGTTCCTTCAAACGTAACATATTTCGGAGTCATTGATTATGAATTTGGTGTAAAGAAATTCGGAAAATGGCGGATTCAATATGATGATCATCAGTTTTCGAAATTAACAATCTCGCTTTTAGCATTATCAATGCGTTTGTCTCGTTTGAGATCGATTAATAATAAAACTTTCGTCTTATGTTCTTGGATTTTTAAGAAAGTAATGGAATTAATTTCCAAAGCGAACTTGAGTAATGATATAAGAATTGATCTAAGAATGGACCTAAGAATTGATAAAACTTGTAAATAAACATATTAAACAAGTTACAAAAAGTTTTATCTCGATATCTCCAACGTTTCTAGATTTTTAAGGGAATATACAAAACACACATAGATACAGAAATCCCCTTTTTGAAATCTTATCTACAAAGCAATATTAGATAGACATTTCGTTTTTATTAAATTGTCATGCGATGTAAGTCAGAACGACTGACATTGGATGTTGCGAGGATCTCTCGCCTGATCGTTCAGGCCCGCGTTACGCGAGATGGAGATCTCTCGCGGAAAAGCGGAAAAATCGCGCGGCCTTCTGCTTTAACGATCCAACCCGGCGGCCGGGTGCTGCGCGGATCGCGACCCTATTTCGCAGCCGGACTTTACGGTGACCACGCTATCTGGCGATTCCCAGTATTGCGCATACGTGCGGCGTACGTGACGTACAGCGTGCGGTCGTGTTGACACATGGTCGTTGACATAAATCTTCCTCGAGTTGACCCCTTTTTAATCGTCATTGCGTTTGCTCGCTCGCTCGCGCGATTTGCACAGAGCTGCGCGCGCGATAATAAAAGGCTGCGCTCTTCACTTTTTGTCCCCCTTCCCGCGGGAGAGAGGAAGAGAG